AAGGAGCTGGTCCCAGGGAAGCAATGCCACAAGAGTTCAGAAGAGGCTGAATGGTATTAATATAGCACACCTTGTGTTACAAAAGCCACTGGCCCAAATTCTCCTCTCCGAGTTTCAGATTCACTAAGACATCTCTGTATGCAAACGTCACCAAAAGCAAATATGGTTTTGTTGTTTTACAAGCCCTTTGGAGCCTTTACCACCAACCCCTTTTCCCTGACGTGAGCTATTTTACTGTCCTGCAGCCTCATCTCCACCCTGATAGTGCTGAGAAACTTCCCATTTTGCAGAGGGCTCGGGAGAATCATCCCACAGACCTGAATGGTTTGTAAAGACCCAGGTTTGTAAAGTTTTCTCCAGGAAGGAATAATTTAGGCAGACGCCTACTCGGTGAGCCCAAGCTGTGCTCAGCAAGGCACCTCAAAGGTGGGCTGGTACAGTCAGGCAGCAGCACCAGGCAGCAGATGGGTGGGAGCAGACAGAGCAGCGCGGCGCTGCAAAGCCATTCACGCTGTGCTGAAAGTTCTTTGTCCTTTCCAGCTGGGTACCGGGGGACACAACACGTCTGAAAGTGAACTGCAGTGTCCTGAGATGCAGGTTAGGGATATAAAACCATTGGTAATGGTATGAGCTGGATAGTGGTATCCAACAGATCTTGAAATCCTAAGCAAATCAATATCTGGGAAAATAAGATTCAGCTGAAGTGTTGGGTTTTCTTTAACCTATAGAATGACATAGGCTGAGAAGGACATCCTTTCTATACACCTCTTCAGAGCCATCCTGCTCAAGCTAATACAAATTTAGGTGTTTCTATATGGGGATTTTTTTTTAAAGGAAAGCTACTTGCTCTGCAATTTTTCTAAGGTTGTTCTCAAAGGCGGGTCCCACGGCCTCGTGCAGACCCTGCTCAGCAAGAGCATCACACCCCGACCCCAACAATTCACCATCCAAAGGGCTAGAAAGACGTTCCGAGCCCAGATTTTCTCCCGTCTGCGCACGAAGACGACTACGGACATTCCAGCCCCGCTCCCTGCACAGCTTAGGCACCCATCGATGGCAGCCGGGCAAAGGTTGGTCGGCAGGGTGGCCGCAGCGATGCCTCTGGTTGTCCGCTCTGTTTGCTCGCTGACAGGGCAGTAGCAGCCGAGGGGACACGGAGGACACGCCGCCCCCGCAGCACCGGGTACCCCCGGCAGAGCCCCCGCCGCCCGGGCTACCGGCCCCGGCCGCGCTGCAGCCCGCGGGGACCCGCCGGGATGACATCAGCGCTCACAGCCGGGCGAGGAGCCGGGCCGGGCCGGGGGGGACCGGGGAAACCTCGGCCGGGGCCGGCCCGCGGGGACCGCGGCAGCGCAGCGCATCCCCGCACCGGCCGCGGAGCATCCCCGCCGCATCCCCCCGGGGTGGGAAAGGGGGGTCGGGCACCCCCTCGGCGGGGCACAACCCCCGCCGCTTCCGCAGAGGGTAGAGCCCCCCGCGCCGTCGCTGCCTCTGCGCGGTGCTGTGCCGTTCTATGCCGTGCTGTGCGGGGCTGTGCGGGGCGGACAGGTGCAGGTGCGGCCGCCGCCCGCGCCCCCCGCCTCTCCTCCCCTTGCCCTGCCCTGCCCTTACCCGGGGCGGCGCAGTCGGCGCACGCCGCGTTCCCCGGCCGCTGGAGCAGCTCCACCAGCGCCTTCCTGCTCCTCTCCTTCGCCATGGGGGCGGCGGGCGGCTCCGCGGGGCTCCGCTCGCTCCGCCGCGCTACCGCAGCCTCATGGTGCGGGCGGGGGGCGCTGGCGAGGCGGGCGGCGCCCGGGCGGCTCCATTCGGCCCCGCACGCTGAACGCGCCTCTCCGGCCGCCGGGACGCGCCGCTGCCGGGGCGGTGCTGCTGCTGCCCTGGGAGCCTCTGGCCCCGCCGCTGCCGGGGCCGCCCGGCCGGGCACGCCGCCGGTTCCGCCTTCTCGCCGGGCCCCGGGGGGCTGGTGGCTCCCCCGCGCCGCTCGCCCGCGACCTCCAGCGGCTGCTTGTGGCCCGGGCGCCCCGTCCCCCCCGGGGAGAGGGGGATGTCCCCGAGCTTCAGGGCGTCCCATCCCTCCGGCTGTCCCCAGCACTCAGTGGTCCCTTCCCTGGTTTAACTCGGGGTGACGGTGACGGGAGGGGATGCTCTCTCTCATGGGGTGGGAGCCGGCGGGGAAGGGGGAGGTGGGTGCCGGGGGTCTTTGCCTGGGGGAGGTGGCAGCTCACAGCATCCCCCACCCCTCACTGGCCGTGGCCTCACCACTCAAGCACCTTGGCAGGTTCACGGGCAGCACTTTTGGGGAGCGTTTTCAACATCAACGTCTTTAGGGGGTACTTGTGAACGTTTTGCTAGTAGCCACACGTGCTCCAAAACACTCCTCCTTCACTGCTGTCCTTCCACACATCACCACCACCTTCCATGTCTGTGTCTTGGCAGGACCGTCCTCCAAGCATCTTCCCACACTTTTCACACCCTCCATAGTGTCAAGGGAGTATCAGGAGAGAAAACGCCCCTGGGGAAGAACCACAGCTTCCTTATGTCATCATGTCTGTGTTGCTGGGACCAAGGGCTGCAGCCCCTCGTGCATGTCATGTCACCTACAGGCAAGGCTCCTGTCCTTGTTTTACCAGCTAAGGACTAGGGAGTGACCGTGGGTGGCGACGTGGGAAGCCTTTGGCCAAGGAGAGGTTCAGAGCTGTGTCTTGAGGCTGCTGCCCGAACTCCTGCTGAAACCTTCCTCTCAGATATGGGTCACCTGCAATGCTGATATGTCCTGTTTGTGGTTCATACATCTCTGCTTACAGAAACAATTTTGGTTCTGCAAAGCAAGTCCCCCATTCAAGCTGTCGCTCTCAACTTCCTCCAACAAAGCAGAGCCCTCCTGCAAGCTCAGCTCATGTCGTTCATGCTGCCCATGAGGTTCAGGGTGTGCAGGAACACCTGCAGGAGGAGCTTGCCAGTATATCCTGGAAGACTTCCACAACCGAATCACCATCTTGATCCTGCAAACCTACACAGATGTGAGCAGGTTCCAGAGGACACTTTGTGGGAGGAAAATAGCATAACACTCTTAAATACAGATAAAATCAGGGCCTGGTACATTTATGTTTGCCCCACTTGCCTGGAATACGTTTTTCTGAATGACCTTTGCATTTGTGCTGCCAGGCAAGCAACTGTAACCAGGTTGATTTCTGACTGCTTTAAACTGATATTGGATTGTTCCTTGCTGACTCTGCCCAGTGTCCTGCATCGTGCTGGGTTTGCTGGTTTTACACACATAGGCTGATAACACCTGGAAACTCATTCCCATGCTAACCAAAGGCACAATCCCACACACAGGCCTTTGGTGGGCAAGTTGAGCTACTGCATCCAGACCCTCACCTTCTTCAGCCTCTGAGTCACTAATACTTACCTAGAGCAGAGCACTGACTTCTAACATCCTCTGAGACAAACCAGCTCAGCACATTATCTCAGCCCTTATCCTCCACACTTGTGATATGCTCAAGCTTGAAGTGTAAATGCTTACAGGATCAGAGCTTTCCCTAAGCCCAAGTTAGGTCAGGTTTTCATTTGCACTCTGGTTTTTCCAGAAGAGGCACTTGCTGAAGGCTTCATGTGATAGCCAGGATGCTGCATCATGAACTTACCACGGGCCGGGGTTGGGAGGAGGGAGGGGGTTTGGTTTGAAAGTCGCTGTTTAGCTTTCCATTAAGACTTATTGATTCTCTTAATTTTTTGTTCTCCTGGTTGCTAGGCAATCCCTCTCTCTCCTCTGTGTGTTGGAAGCCAGGGCTGCAGACAGAAATTTATATCTTGTAATAAAATCAAATAAAACAGAGCCTGTTGTCAATGATGAAAGGGGAGCATTTCATAAAGGACAGACAGAGCAGGAGAGCAGGGCCAGCAAGGGTCAATCAGCAGCATCCTCAGAATTTAAGCTTCATCAGAATGACTCCAGACTTCACATGGGGAAACAAACGACCCATATGGGTGAAGGGAACATGGAGAGACAGGGAGAAAAGTTGGAACTTAATGATCCAGAATTGAAGATAAACTTTTGTTCAGTGGAAAATCAAAGGCTTCAACCAATCTCACATATAAAAGAGTACCTCTGTAAATTTACTCCTGGTTTATCCAAGGTTAAGAGGCTGGGTATTGTCCCAGTATCGATTGGCACAATGTTGATCCAGGGCAGGCAGTGAGGCTTTCCTGATGGACATTGGCTCCCAAGGATTGTGATTCCTGGTGTAGAGCAGGAATCTGAGTTTATGGTCTCACAAGGGTTAAAGGGCGAAGTTTGCCCCATCAGAGGCTCTCAGAGGCTGCTGAGCCTTGTCCATGTCAGACTGTTCCCTCCTGCCTCTACCCACAGGAGCCGACACCTCCTCTGAGCTTTGCCCCACACTTTGCCCGTGGGTATGGCCTGTCAGGGAATGCTAAATGAATTTGCTCCTACTTCTTGCAAAGTCTCTGGCCAAACTCTCTGGAGACGCGTTGTCACTGTCAGCACATCACCATCATTCAGGTGCTTTCTGTCTCTCCACTGCTAAGTGACTTGTAGGTCTGATATAAATTTATATACATATGTATGTACATACTTACATATTTATGTGTAAGATGTGTTTGTTTGTAAACACACACACTTTTAACTCAGTCTTTTCTAAATCACAAGGTTGTTGCCTTAGAAACGGACATTATTAATGGGATCTCTTGAGGTGGTAAGCACAGTGGCAACAAGGGCAGCTTCTGGAAATGCCAGATACTGAGGTCAGGGCAAAGAATGCTCAGAAATTTCAGGAAACCTTTCCATCATCTTTGTGGTGACGCCCCGATAATGGACAGACATAACTATACCTTCTCCTTGCCCTTCCACATTAGCTCCTTTTACCCCCGAGACTGCCTTGTTTTGTCAGGAAAGAGCTCTTTACACTGGTTTTTAGCTAATTTTGCAGCCCCAGCCCTGAAATGGCTAAATCAATGTCACAACCATGCAAGTGAAAGGGTGTTGAACACAACCCTTTATGTGACCCGGGAGCGCATTCACAGCATAAGGTGGGGAAGCATTACAAATTCCTGCGTGAACAGCAAACCTGAACAGAGATATCAATAATTCATGCCACTGCAACTGCATTCAAGCAAAACTCTGGAGTAGCAGATACACCAGGCTGGATCCTTTAGGCTTCCTCAGCACCACAGGGGAGGCAGCTTTTGCAGCTAGAGGTTTGCGTGAACAAGCTACAGCACTGGCCAGCTGCACCTATGCTACAGCAGCTCATTTCCGTTGCAGTTTTGGTTTCCTGTTCAAAACAAAAAAAGAAAAAGAAAAAAAAAAAAAAGGAAGAAACTTAGATCCTAGAGGTTTTTCTTTAAAAAATTATATATCTTGTTTTCTGGGTTATCCAGTTAAATCAAGAGTGGCTACAGCTGAGAGGGAGGAATGCCACAGAGGAGAGGGCTCAGATCAGGGGAATTAAAAAGTCTTGAACTGAAAATCCAATACTGATGCCAACTTTCTCTGGTTTTGAGCAAATTGCCGTGTGGATCCTGTGGGATTGTTCTTCTGTGGAACAGGGAAAAGCACACTCGCTGCATCTGCATGGTTAGGATGTGTTGGTCAAGTTGAAGAGAAAGTGATGTGAGGGTGCAGAAATAACAGTGAAGTCCTGTGTCTGCAGAGCTGCTCTGCACCTGCACCAGCCCTCAAAGAAGACAAAGTGTTGTGCAGCTTTAAAAGTACCTCACTGCAGAGTGATTTGCAGGTCAGGGTTTCATTTCATTTGCATAGTGGTTAACTCTGTTGCAGCCCAGTGTTACCAGCGTGAAAGATGGGGAGTCCTTTGCTCCGGTGATTTAATAGTTGTGCAGGTAACATCATGCACACAGAGATCCTCTGTAAGGCAACAGAAACAGGGAGAATGAGGACAAGAAGGGGGTTCAGAGTAAAATCTCTGCTGATTTCCTTAAACGCCTTTTTTTTTTGGTTTCTGCAACACCCTAGAGCTGATCATTGATCTCTCAAAGCCACACTGCCAACAAAAAGGAAAGTTCTCCGATCACCAGCCCGTCACATGCTCAGGATATCCTTTCAGCTTCCATTCTGCCTGCCACTGGTCAGCTCACTGCAGCAATGGGCTGTTTTGGGTGTTGATATGTGGTTGCAAGGGCTGCTTAATTGCTCAGAGAGTGTTGTTGGGAGCCAAGAGACCTCTGAGAGAGAGAGTAAGGGGGTAATTGATAGCTTGAAGATGTTGGATATTTGTATGTCTGCTCCACAGCACACAGGGAAATCTCAACACAGGAAAAACAGCTCTGTAACAGACATGTTGCTTTGGTACCAAACCCATTTCATATGACATAAAAGATGACATGGAGGGGGCAGCTGAGGGAATTGGCTCCATGGCAGCTATGAGGCACCTGTCTGGAGCTGTGCTAATTTCTATGGCCTAATGCTCTCAGAGAAGACGAAATTAGGCCAATGAAATCAATAATTCAACTACGTCACTGGTAGACCACTGCTTTCAGCATTATTCCCCATTTATTCTAATTAAAAGATTTAGGCCTGTGGAATCTCAGTATGGAGAAAGCCAACATATGTGTGAAGACACTCATATGTCAGGGTATCAGCTCCTCCAAGAAAAGTCAAAGTGATTATTCAGAGCAGGACGTCATCAACTCAGTCTGAGTCAGAGGCACGGCAGGACAGGTTCGATGTGCCAACCACAGGGCAAGCACTTTTCATGGAAATTGCTTTTGCTCAATTCCAATAATTTAATCTCTTCCTGGCTCAAATGGCTCATTCTTCCAGGAACAGCTTGGAGACATTCAAGCAAGAGACAGGGCTGCATGATGTCCCATTCCAGGGTGGGGACAGAAGTGGCCCAGCCAGCTGCTGCCAGCTCTGGGTTCCTGGGAAGCAGTGGCTGATCCTGCCAGGAGCCCAGTGCAAAGCGAACGATGGAGATGATACAGGCATGACCATGGGTCAGAGGGGCTGAAGCCCAACACTTCACTTCTGGTCTGAAAGCCCCTCAGAAAAAAAAGAACACATCATTTTAAAAGGGCACAGAAAAGAAAATGGTGCAGTTATTGGCCCCAGCAGTCAGTCTCTTATCACAGGCTGCTGCCTTCAGCTGCTGGTCCAGCTCAGAGAGCTGAGACCACATCATTTTCTGTAACATTGCTCAACTGTGATTTGAATAAAGCATTAGATGGAAACAAGGCTGTGGTTTTTCTCTAGAAAGAGATTAAAAATGATGGCCTGAAGGAAGCTGCCAAACAGCTGGAGATGGTAATTCAGCCTTCCCCCAATTAACTTTGTCCACAGAAAGTTGAGGACTGTGTCCTACTCTTCCTCTGGCTGCTGATGGCATTGTTTGGATGTCACTGCATGCCTCCTAAAAGCTCCCACAATATCAAAATACAAAGCATGCTGCTCAGTTCTCTGTTTATTTCAGTATGCTTTGCCAAAGAAAAATCAGCAAAGAATTAATTAACAGCAATTATTTCTAGCAACAACAGAGCAGCCCTGCTCCAGAAGCCATGAAAACAACATCATGAGACCCCTGTGGCCAAAAAGCCTTTCTAAACAGGTGCAAAAATAAACAATTTTATAGCAGGCTATAAAAAGAGCCAAAGCCAGGTTGGGGAATGGCAGGAGAACAGCCATTTCAATGGCTGAGTCAGAGCAGCCACCCAGGTGACTTTTGTGAAGGAGCTTTAATAAACAAACCAGAGCAGAAGCACTAACCTGAGTGAAAGAACCAGCAGGACCAGGTTATTGCTGCAATAGAAGGTTTAGTACACCTGTCACTCTGTGTTATTAGTGCTGCTGAAGTGATTTACTGTCCAAGTCAGTCTAACCGATTAGAGCTGTGATCTAAAGTACAGCCAGCTCCAGTTTCAGTGATAAACATCACCCCCCCTGCCTATTACTTGCTAAAATAAGCTGAAATAAAGCCATCAATCCAGACATCTCTGTGTTCAAATGAGTCCTTCTGGCTGGCACCACCACACCTGCAAGCCTCCTGCCATGCACGCTGGAAGGATGGAGGTAGATGTTCCAGACATGCTCTCATTTTTCACCTACCTGGTTCTTTTTCACCAGCCAGTGAACTCAGTATCTCTGTCCCTTTGACCAGAACTCATACGCCTCCTGTCACCAGAGCCCTGCAGTGACCTGGTTCCTTTAACATCTCTGTGCTGCCCTTGCACATGCTGAGCATCTCTCACACAGAGGTCAGGATGCATCTCCTGTCAGGATGTTCACCTCCATGCTGTGTCATTCTAGGTGGCAGTGGATAGTCCCTCTTTCCCACCAGACTCTGCAGCACAGTTTGAGGAGGGGGAGAGCTAAACTGAAGCCCACACTCCACCCTCCTGTACCGCTCACACTGATGTCTGTGCACATAGACTGTTAACACCTGACCCGTGGTATTGCCTCTGCTCTCCCATGTGGATACTGCTCTGGGATGGGGCTGCACGGACACAGCACACCTATACCTCTAGATCACACAGACATTTGAAGGCATAGAGAAAGGGGACAGACTTATGCTGCCTTAGCAACCACTCTGAGCATGCACAGAGATGTGCCAAACAACAGACACACCCTGGACTGTGTGCTCTCTATGGGCTGGGCCACAGTGACGGGTGGTGAGGACGAGGGGTTAAAGACAACCTGCTAAATCCAGGGGTTTATAGCACAGCATAACTCCCACCTTCACACTGAAGAGCAAAAGCCAAGAGAGGCAATCCCAGAGTTGCAAGCAGCCAGCCTCATTACACCCCTGGGATTTCCTGCTTGGTTCTTTTTCATGGGGCTGTGAAGGCTCATTTATCAGTGGGGGGCTTTGCTCCTGCCTGGTTTGGCATCCTGAGTTACCAGTAATTTTCTCAGCACTGAGCTGATCCGCAGCTTCTCTGCAATCCTGAGTGGCAGCAGGATTTCTTTTCCCCTTTGAGTCTGCCTGCCCCAAAACTGGCTTCCTCAGTGGGATGAAATGCTTTTGACCATCCATCCAGCCATGCTACCTGGGGCTGCCGGTGCAACCCAGAGGGGAAAGGCCCTTGGTAGATTGGCAGCAGATGGCTCCATCACAGCATCACATCAAATCCTCAGGGCTATCCTGGTGTCCCAGATTCTGTAGTGCTATCATTCTCCTACTTTGTCCACTAAGGAGAGATTCAGTGCTTACAAACCCTGCTGAAAACCAGAACATGGTTTAATAACAGAGAAATGTAAATTGAGCAAACAAAACTGGGCCTTACTCCCTTGCAGAGCACACCCTCCCATGTGGCTGCCTTCCCACATGCTATCCTTGATTAGCAGCTCTGCAAGCAGGAGCAGAACTGGGGGTGTGAGCAGGTTCTTGCTGAGCAGGACTTGCTAGCAGTGAGAAAACTAGAAATCCTCCAGAAATCAGAGCTGTCAACTCCTTGAAGGTTACTAAAATAGACAAAGGACTCAGTTGCCCAAAGGGGCTGCAGAAGCACCTCCACTACCTGATTTTTAAACCTACCAAGGTGAATTGAAAAGCCTGGATCATTCTGGGTAGTCTCCTCGCTTTCTTTCCTGCTCTGCTCTCTTCTTTCAAGGCAACTTCCCAGCACTGCTCCTATCAGAGTTTGTCATAATTCATAAGGACCAGAACAGAAAAGCATCCACAATACTGGCTGGTCTAAGGTGTTGCTCATTACCAGGAAACAGGGCACACAGCCAGATGGACCCCCAACATCCCTCCCACATCAGTAGGAACCTACCTCACTCTGTGTGGGAGCTGGGACAGACTGCTTGTGGAGGCATCCCACTGGAGGTGGGAAATATGGAGCACCAAGGGCTGGATTCAGCCCACCAGATTTGATCAACTGAACTGTTTTACACTCACAGATACAACTGTGGCCTTTGTTGGGCTGTATGTTGAATGCCAGGCTTGTCTGGGGTGTTTTTCATCCAGCCAAGCCCAGCAGGGATCAGCAAGCATAAGACTGATGCACCTGCTAATGCAACTCCCAAGATCTCCTGGAATAATGAGAGAGCACAAGCATCAGAACCTCTAAGAGGAGGCATAAAAACCTGTCCCTATATCATCATCAGTCTCAGGAAACAAAAAATGCATCAAGGTCTATTAAGTCCCCTGCACACATGCATTGGACTTCTAGGTGACTTTCTATGAAGCTTCTATTTTGAGCAGTGATCAATTATGCATTTCAAGCCATATGGCACCTTCATTCCAGAAGGAAGGCATTTTGTCTTGAAATTTGTAAGCTAGAAAATCTGCAAGCTAGAAAATCTGCTGCATCCTGAAAAAAATGCAACACTGCCAGTTATTCACAGCAGCAGGATCATTAAGGAGGGGGAAAAAAAAGGGAACCAGGATAAGATTAATCAGACATCCAATTTTCATAGAAATACTCTGGAAGGGGAAATGGGCCCTTGCATGTGCACTTCCAAATAGGTGGTTTTTCTTAATTAATCTGAATCAGAGCTTTGATTTTTGTGGGAAACCTGATGCTTTACACAACATTCCCAATTTAGCAGAAGGATCTCTTCCAGAATGGATCTCCTCCAGGCACAAAAGCAACCAAGTCCTCTGGGGTCACTGAATATGCTACCAGAAATGACCACACTCCTGCATTCTAGCAGAAGCATCATTCCCATCCCAGGAATTACGGATGAGAAATGTAGAAAAATACTGCTCTCCAGTGGAACCAGAACATCCAAGGCACTTTGAGAGCCTACAGCAACAAGTGATGCTACAGACACTTTTTGTATGGGAGCAGGCTGCTGCTTCTCTCATAGCCTCACACAACATACGTTTCATTCCAGAGGCTCAGTGAAAATAGTGTTGCCTCTCAGTGCTCTCCAGGCCTGCTTGCAGTGAGACAACAAGGTGAAATTTAAGAGGTGCTTTAACTCCTTACCCCTCACTCACTATTAGTGCTGGTTAAGCCAAAACCACAAAGGCAGCAGTAAGGGAAAGCTGTTTTGATTGCTGCCCCAAAGGGCAACTAATCATCAGCAAAAGCCAGCAACTCCATGGTCTCCAAAGGAAACCAAGTGGGTGACTACTAGACATAAGTGTAATGCCCAGCCACAAGGAACTCCTTGGATTTGAAGCAGGCAGGACAAACTGGGGAGAAGGCCTTGGAAAAGGACCAAACGTAAAGGTCAGCAGCTACACCCCCTGCCTGCCTCTAACTGTGCACAACCCCAAATATTCACTTCACAGGTGCTGACAGATGCAACCCTCCTGCTACACCAGGCACGCCATTGCAGGTGGCAGATGGAGCAACAATCCCTCCTCAGCAGAGGCACGGGCTCATTGTGCTCCCACAAAGGACTTTGGACCATGGCCCACTTCCAGAGCAAGCACAGGAGGCTCTCTTTGTGTAGGATTTTCTGTGAAAGCACACCCAGAGCTTTGGAAATGTTTATTAAACCCTTTCTTCCTTGTTCTGCAGGTCACTGCAGTTGTTTGGAGAGATACACCTAGAGCTCAAGGTCTCCCAGGAAGACATAACGAGAGTTGGCTCACAGCAATGTTCCCTCTGTAAATAACTGCCGTGATCAAGGTTAAGCTCTTTGTGGTTGAGTGGATTTTAATATGAGCAAAGAAAGAGGGAATGCACGGGCAAGGCTCTCCCCAGTGCCAACAGCAAAGCTCTGCTGTTCCAGAGTCCTCTGGGGACTCCCTAAGGACTGATCCCAAGCAG